AGGTTTATCCACAAAAACAAGGTATTTCTTTTAATAACACCTTTGTAATCTAATGCACAGTTTATAGGAAAAAAACAGTTTTTGCTACTGCTTTCCTTAATTAAATCACAGTAAAATGAAAACCACAAACCAATAGCAAAAACAAAACAACATACTACCATTGAGCCGATTCCAACTCACAGCAACTTGGTAAGGCAGAGGAGAACTGCCCCACACAGGTTTCCAAAGATGTGGTGCTGTAGGACAAGCAATGAACTGGTAACCAAAAGATTAGCAGTTCAAACCCACTAGTTGTTCTTAGAAACCCTATATAAGGTCTCGGAGTTGAAATCGACTCCACATCACTTAACAATCTTTACAGTCCTAGTGTGATGCCTAGAGGATAGGCATTGGACGGAAGTCAGTTTGAACTGCAAAGTCAGCGGTTCAAACTTAGCAGCCGCTCCTCAGAAACCTTATACAGGGTCACTGTAAGTTTGAGAAGACTTGATGGCATTTTTTGACAACAAATCTTCACAGAAACAGACTATCCCACCTTTCTTCTGCAAAACTGATGGATTCAAAGCACTGACCTTTAAGTTTAGCTGCTGAGAGCTTTCTTAATCACTGAGTCACCAAGCCATCATTTTAGTAACGAATTACGTTTACATTGGGTTTTCAATAATATTAAACAGATTACAGAGGATATCTAAATAAGACAATTATATTGGAGTAGCTTTTATTTTTTAGAATATAAAAATAAACAGAAAACCTTTTTTGCTTCAGTTAAAATTATAAGCATATAGTTTTTTTTTAACAAAAATAATCTATTTAAAACAATTTCTTCCTAAATCTTACTACTGTTGAAAATATATATAGTAAAAAACATACAGCAATTCAACAGTTCCCGAATTTGACACATTTAGAATGACTACACTTTGAGTTGTGCATTTTCACCTTCCTTTTCTGAATTGTTTCTCCCCCATTAACATAAAGTCACTGCCCTCTAAAGTTCCCAATTTTTCAAGTTCATGCTGTCAATTCTTAAAAGTGCATAGCGCTCACAAGAGACCTTGTTTTTTTTACTAGTTAAGCTAAACTGATTGTTCAGCTTTAAGAAGACTTGAGGGGATATTTTTAGTTTAAAGCTTAAAATTTATCTCGAGGCAATAGTTTCAAGGGGTCTTTCAACTTCATGGCTCAAAAATCTGGAGTACATGAAAATATGAAATTGTTTTGCATTTCCCCCTTTTTGATCAGATGCTTCCATGGAATTTATTATTTTTTTAAAATGCTTAGTAATGGTAGTCAGGCACCACGCAGGTCTGGTCTCAAAGCAAAGTAGGCAGTTGTTCATGGAGGTAGCCACACATTTCATGTCCTCTTATTGATCTGTACTCACTAGGAGCACAGGAAGATGACTCTCCTTGTTCCTTCTTTGCACCAAGTGAGCACAGACCACTTGTTGTGCCTTGGATGGCCACATGCTGCTAACCTGCTAACCACAAAATCAACAGTTGGAGTCGATCAGTTGTTCCATGGGAGAACGATGAGGCTTTCTGCCCCTGTAGATTTACAGCCTCGGAAACCCTACACAGGGTTGCTATGAGTCAGAACCGACTGCATCATAGCACACAACCACCACCACCACCCACTCCTGGTAACTAATAAACTGGTTTCTACACATCTGGCTTTTCTTAATATACAAGTAAGGTCACCCAATCTGTCCTTCTGATTGACTTATTTTACTCAGCATAATGTCTTCAAACTCCAAATATGGCTGAGCAGTACTCTCTAGTATATTTTACCACATTTTGTTTATCCACTCACCTGGTGATGGATATTTAGGCGGTTTCTACCTTTTAGAATAGGCATTTCACCAAAGAGGACATTCAGTTGGCCACCAAACACATGAAATGATGCCCATCATTAGCTACCAGAGAAATGCCAATCAAAACCCAGTAAGATACCATCTCACTCCCACTAGGACGGCTAAAATTAAAAAAACAGAAAACAGCAAATGTTGTCAAGGATATGGGGAGATTGTAACCCTAATCCATTGCTGGTGGAAACGTAAAGTGGTTTAATTGTTGTGTCATTTCCTCAAAACACTAAAACTACAACTACCAATGCCCCAGACATATTTCACTCCTAGGTATGTATCCAGAAACTTGAAAGCAGAAACTCAAGAAATTGGCACAAAATTAAAAATGTCCTATTTCTTATTTTCATCTTGGATTTCTGCTGTGGTGCTTAGAAAGAAAAATACACTAAACATTATCAATGTTATACCTTTTAGAAAATTAGTGAATAGTGTTTAGCTATAGAAAATCAAATTTTATGTGTTTACAATAAACATTTTCATTTCTAAACATGTGAGGGGTTAGCTGATTTCATATAGTCTCACCAAATACTAATTCAAAAAGCATCCATTAACAAGCACATGTGGAAATGAAAGACTAAGTTGACTTTTAAAGTTTTTATATTTTAACCAAAGATGAATAAAATAACTGCATCAATAATCACATTTCTTTTATTTCTTCTAATATTTTAACCTTCCTTTTCCATTCCATTCTAAGATCTTGGAGTAGAAAACAAAAAAATAAAAAAAAAAAAAAAAAACCAGCCCAAATCTCTTTAAACAAAAACAAAGTTAATGAGAATAAAACACATAAAATTAGTATTTTAAATTTATTTCAAAAACGTATTTTCAATGCATTTAAATACTTACACAACATTGGTACAATACACAAAAACCCTCTACTAACATACAAAACTAAAGTTCAATATTAACAAAAATTAATATTGAAGAAATAAAATTTGTAAGACACCTTTCTCTCCATAAATTTTTCAAGACACACATTTGTAAGGTGTTTTTTGGGGGGCCTTTTGGGGGGATGTGTGCTAAAAACTCTTCAAAACACATCAAGACAAAGTTTTAAAATATCAATTAAAAAGGTAAACAAGAAAAAACAGTAGCAATTTGACAAATGATATAAACCATCCCATGTCTTACCATCATCCTCTACTTACTTTTTCATTCATTTTTTTGGACAACATTATTACTTGCCTTTCTCTCAAAAAGAAATGACTAAGGGACGAGCATGAGCAGAAAGTGGGATCCTAACCACAGAAGCAGCAATACCAGCAATGGAAGCAGAGGTGCTGGCATGGAGAGAAAGAGCAGCTGAAGACTCTAGACTCATGGAAAGAGGAAGGCTGTGTACTGGCAGCCAGGAGGCTGGCTTGCAAAATGTGTCCTTTGGTTGTTTAAACGATGATATATTCCTGCATGTTTCTGTGTACATCAATTAAATAGAGGAAACAGAGGCAAATACTGTTAACCGGTGGTGCATGGAAGGGATTGTAATCACTTCAGTGAAACAAAATACGATTGGTTGAGTGTAAAACCGATGTTCTCCCATGTAAACTATCACTCAATAAAAGCTTTAAAAAAAATTTTTTTAAGTAAGAAACGGCTATAAATTATCAGTGGGAAACAGATTTTTTTTAGGAATCTGCAGGCTTTCACGTTCCCTCTGGTGAGAATTAAATCTATACCCCTCCATTAAGTTCTTATTTCTCTCCCAAAGCAGACCTTCCATAAATAATACTAAGGTCTAAATTCTAATGAATATAAATCAGAGGAAATAAGAACTCTGGTTCAAACCTTCCTCAAAAAAAGTCTATTCCAAAATTATATTTTTAGCTTCCCCCATGATGCTCTTAAAAAAAAAAAGGTAAAAACAAAATACCTGTGCTTATGATTTTATTCATGAATCTATAATGGAACTCAAAATAGGAAAGAACATGAAAATTTCTCAGATTAATATTTATCAACCAAACTCATCAGATACATGTTTCATACAAGTAACAAAAATACCTTAAATGCACATAAGACAATATATTACTCTCCATTTTGTGGAACTTTAAGGGAGTTGTTGTTGTGGAGATTATTTATTCAACACAGCTTTCAGAAAACCACACATTATAAGGTCAAATGCATACAACAATTCAAAACAACTCAAATGTAACTGATTTTAAAAAAAACACCTCATGGCTAATCTAGGTAAAGTGCTATGTTAATATTGAAAGAAACAATTCATTAAGATTTTTTAAAATGCTACATACATCATTCTGAAAATGTTAACATAGTATTTACTATGTTAATCATATCCACAGATCCCCAATTTGAGGTCATAAACACTATTTTGCAATTTAAAAAAAAAAAAAAAGCCTTTAGTTCCCAAATTACTTCCTGGAAGTTTAAAATTACTACAACGTTACTAAATTAAGTTCTTCCTGATTCAGGAGTGGATTCCACACAGCAAACAATTTTTCATTGTTTTAAACATTATCTTTGGTTTCAGGCTGTCCTGATATCCTTTTTTTTTTGGATGTTTGTGGTTAATAAAATATTCATGAAATAGTACACTAGCATCATTTGAACCATAAAAGAAAACTGGGTCAGTGTCGTAAGGGCAATGTACAGATCAAGAAATCTGAGAAGATGAGGTGCCTGTAAAACACACAAGATATCTGTAAGTGTTAAAGTTAGTATTGTTGAGTGACTCACCTCCTTTCATCGGTGACCTCAATCAATTCATTAATAGCATTAGCCAGTGTGTGTGACTGTTGAGAAGAAAGTAGTTGGGGGGCGGGGGTGGTAGGGGGGAGGGTTCTTAACCTGAATGAAGGCACAAAGGTAAATCTTAAACTTATGAATATGATCAGCCAAGTTGCAGGTGCAGCATGGGTGTATTCACCCAAGCCCACACCTCCACCTCATGTTACAGGTTGAATAGCCTCACTGAATAGATCCCACCACATAGAAGAACTCTGCCTGTGGGTGTGGATATGCCAGAGGTCAGAGAGCCGGTAGTTCTCCAGAACTGATAAGACACTGAATGATGCAAGGTAACCTTTCCTCAAAATAAAACTGCTAGAGTTTTAAATCAATAGAGCACTGGGATGAAATAATGTTACAAACTATAAGAATCTCAGAAAGAATATGCTCAGTTTCATAGCTGAAGGCCATTTATGATCTCTTCTCTCTCTCCTTGAATAATTAAATGTAAATGCCTTTTAGCAATGGCAGCATTCAAATCCCATAAAAAATCAAGTAGTGGCCCTTTAAGAAGCATCTCCATTGGCACAAATTGTAGAACCTGTTGGGATGCATCAGAGTTAAGTAACATGCGCAACGATTCAGTCACATTCTGCAGGTACTGGAAAACTGGATTTGGAAGGTCCTGAAAGCCAACACACAGCAGGACTGCACAACTCCTCAGAGGTTCAGAGGATGTGGGGCAAGAGAATGTGATGAACTGAAAGCAGCTGTTGAGTATAAATATCAAACCAGCCATAAATCTCGTGAAACATGAAAGGATAGGCAAAATCAAAACATCTCCTAAATGAAGCTGCTGCAATGAGTGTAAAAGGCAGTCTAAAAATAACTGCTGGTATTTCGGGTCTCCATCATGAAGCAATGAGCAGGTGAAAGTCATGAGTTCAGCCGATTCTAGGAATTGAACTTCTAATGGTATATTCATTTTGGTATCATGGAGACTTGGCAAACCCACAAGCAGGCACTTTATTTGGTTGTTGGGTCCTCCAACCTGCTCATACAGAAGGCACTTACTAAGGTTAAACAATTCCGAAAATATCCGTTCTTCGGAAAAAACATGACAAGAGCAATAATACTGCTGCTTTGGCCTAAACTTGGAATCCACATTCAAAGTCCCTCCTAATGACTTTTCAATTGCCTCATTAAGAGTTTTTAAAATTTCACCATCGCAGAAAGGAGAACACTTTACCTTTGGCAGTCTCTTTCCCTCTAAAATATGCCATAAGTGACATTCAAGATTGGAACCTGTCCCTTCTAAAAGAGAACTGTGCCCAGAATGATAGACAGCGTGTTCTTCGGCCCAACTATTAAAATATCCTTTGGCCACCTTATCTTTCCACGAAAGGGTTTCTAGCAACTTCCTTTCATTATAGGTTTTAAAATACCTGCTCCTCTGCCCAAACCATTTTGTATTTGTACTACAACCAATATTAGACCCTTTTACCAGCCAATTATTTCTGGAAATTGGCTTCAATTTTAACTTCTGCATAAAATATTGCACAGCACAATCTCTTAAATTATTTAACTTTGTCTGTTCCTCTTTTTCCATGCACTTAAACAGACGAATGTTCTCAGAAATAGTCTCGAGCTGGTATTTATGAAAGAACATGCAACATTCTTGATGCTTTTGAAGAAAAGATTCAGGAATCACATGATGGGGAAAGAGAGCTTTGCTGGTTATTGCACTCCCAAAATTGAGCATCATCTTAGATAGCAGAGGATGGATAGCCTCTCTTCCCTTATAGTGGAGACATACCACATAGACTTCTGAGTTTCCTGCCTTGCTAGTAGCAGGTTTGAACACATGGACTTGGTCAAAGGAACAATTCAGCAGATACATCAGATTTATGGAGCAATGTTCAAACAAAGTAAACATCTTCAGAACAAAAGAGCCACCATTTCCAAGCATCATCAGAGCAGTGACAACTTCACAGTAATGCAAAGAAGAGACTAAAGCTTCTTGTTCACCTGGGTTTCCTTGGCAATCAAAACTCCCATCTGCAGTGATCAAGTGAAGGCTATCCATGCCGCTTACAAAGTTCTGAAGTCCAGTCAGATACTTCAGGGTCATGATGTCACCAGTGTTATCTGGACCAAAGTACCACCAGTGTAAGGTATTTGCAATAAGCCGGTCATCCATAATCATCATTAGGTTGTCATTTGCTTCATGGTAGGGATTCAGAGTATTGGCTACCCAACTCCATTCACAGGGGAACTGATGGGATTTTAAGTAGTGATTGAGACTAGCTATAAAAGCGCCAGGAGCTTCACAAAGGTGTAGGGAATTCAGTTTTCCATTCTGAAATGCTTCCTGGGGAATAAGTGGGAAGCTGCACAAAATCTCATGAAATTTACACCATGCTTGGGTACACAGTTCAGCATTCACAGATTTTCTCACATGAGAAATTATTTTTCCAGCTTTATTAGTGAAAGCGGTGTGCTCATGCCACTCATCAAGTTTCTTATCACTCAGTAGGTTTTTCACTTCATTTAATGAGTTCTTCAAATCAAGAAAGGAGTGGAATTCGGTGTGGTCACAGGTGAAAACCTCACTGAGATCTGGTAACTGCCATTCATTGTTAAGTGGCTTACCATAAGAAAAGTTCTTGGCAAAAAGTTCAAAAATGTTTGAAAGAACATCTGGGCTGAACGTCTCAGAACTTGCTATCTGATGAACCCGTGGTTTTTTGAACTTACTCATTTTCAAATTAAGTTAAAATCTAGGAAAAGAAAACACACGATTAAACAAATAAAATTTACTAGTACCTGAAATTGGCAGGAAACCTAATCATGCTGGTGGCAAACCCTATGGGCTTTTAAATCCAACAACCCTGGGCTCAAATTCCAGCTCTGCCTTTTATAGCTTCATAAGTGGCCGTGGGCAAATTACATCTCTGAGTCTATTTCTTCTCATTAAAAAGTGAAGATATTATCATTTTTAAAAGATAAACATATAACATGTTGTTGTTAGTGTTATCAAGTCAGTTATACCTCACACTGACCCAATATTGGGTTTCCAAGGCTAGAAATCTTGGTGGTAGCAGAAAGCCTTATCTTCTTCCATGGAGCAGCTGATAAGCTTGAACTGCTTTGAACCGGTGGTTCAAAGTCCAGTGCTCATCCTACAGAGCCCTGTCACTCCCATCAAGGCACAGTAGTTCTTATTACCTTATTAACCCATCTAGCTGCTCCCCCAGTTTTCCTCTACCCATGGCTACGACACCACCACACTGTTCCACACACACACACTCAGGTTCATCCCAGAACATGATCTTTCATCAAATTCTAACCAAAGGCCTTCAACTTTTTTTAGTTTCCTTTGCGCCCCTTTTACTAGGGCTAGGCTCTCTAGACCAGGTCTCTCTGCCAGCACCCACCTACCCACCTACCAGGACTGTTGAAGGCACCTTCTGTGCAGATTTCACTCGCAAGCTAAGTGCTTTGGTGGTGCCAAGCACTTGCTTAGGCTGCCAACTAACACTCATCACCGTTCTGATACTGTGCTTTACCTGACTGGCTAGCCTCCTTCAGAGAGCTTCATGCTGAAACTGACCTATGGTGGTTTACACCAGCATGTAACTAAATTAGAGATTTATGTCTCATCTTGTCTACTCAGACAACCACAAACAGAATTCCTAAGCGCTATGCTTACATTGGAGTCCTGGTGTGGTGCTGTGGGCTAATGCGTCAGACTGCAAAGTTGTCTGAACTGCAAAGTCAGTGGTTCAAGCTCACCAGCTGCTCCTTGGAAACCCTATACAGGTTCGCTATGGGTCAGAATCAACTCGACAGCACTTAACAACAACAACATGCCTACATTTGTATGGCTCTGTAGGATAAGCACTGGACTGCCAACTGCAAAGTCAGTGGATCAAACCCAGCAGCTCCTCCTTGGAAACCCTATACAGTATCTCTGAGTCGGAACCTCACTTAACAACATGCTTATGCTATAAAATATCATTATTTCTTCTTGCCACTAAAACTTAACACATTTTGAAAGCAGAATTTTAAAGTGAAGACATATTCTTATTACTAAATATACAAATTTCAGATAGTCACCCTACACAGTCTCTATTGTAACACTGCATAGGTAACAAATCTGCCACCTATCGAGAGAAATATAAGAGAAAGGAGTTACGGCTTATTGGCAAAGACTTGGAAACATTCTACATTCCAGCAGATACAGCAATGAGTAATACATGGTACCGGTTGTTGTTAAGTGCTGTTGAGTCGGTTTCAACTCAAAGGGTTTCCGAGGAGCAGCTGGTGAGCTTGAACCGCCAATCTTGCAGTTCAAACCGACCTTGCAGTCCAGCACATTACCCCGCAACACCACACCAGGAGTGCAGTGTTAATCTATGAATGTGTCAGTTCACATATTCTACCTTTATTTAACATACTCAATGCATTCCACAACCAGTTTTCCAAAAAAAATCTAAATTTTCATGAGAAACCTGACAGTGAAATTACCATTTCACAAAAAACTCATGTTTCATGATTAAAATGGGAAATGAAATAATATCCAGATGTCTTCAATCTACTCATATTTTGCATTGCTTTTAACAATTTTCATCCTTTATATTGTTTACATTATTTAGAAGTCTGTCTACTAGTTTGTAAGCTCCTTATATTAACAAGAATCTTCTTAGTCTTTTAATTGCCACTGTAATCTATTTAACAAATTGCCAAAACCCTGAAAATATAAATTGTGTTACCTAAGCTAATAGTTACCTTCACAAAACAACTAAAAGAGACACAATACTCCTGACTATACTTTAGCTGTGGTGGTGGTGGTGTGCCGTGGAGTCACATACGGTTTCCCAGGCTGTAAATCTGTACAGGAGCTGAAAGCCTTATCTTTCTCCCGTGGAACAGCTGGCAGTTTCGAACTGCTTACCTTTAGATCAGCAGTCCAACTCATAACCACTATGCTACCAGAGCTCCTTGGCTATGGTACACAGATCAAAATTATGAATAATAGTGAATAGTATAAAGGTTCACAATACATGACGGAGCATGTACTTATCTAAATAATATGTTTCATACGATCAAATATCAACAATATAATCACCTCTCACCCATCTCCAACCTACCAGACTCCTGGTAGTTCAAACCTCAGACCTTTTGGTTAGCAATCCAGTGCTTAACCACTGCACCACCAGGGCTCCTTTTCCAACGACTAGCCACACCTGGAAGGAGCCCTGATAGCGTAGTGGTTAATTGGGCTGCTAACCTCAAGGTCACCAGCTGTTCAGCGGGAGAAAGATGAGGCTTTCTGCTCCCGTAAAGATTTGCAGCCTAGGAAACCGTGTGCAGAGTCACTATGAGTTGCAACCGACTCCACGGTACTTAATTAACAACATCCACACCTGGTGTGGCGCTGTAGGATACGCACTGCAAGATCGCTTTAAACCGCAAGGTTGAAGGTTCAAACTCACGAGCTGCTCCTTGGAAACCCTATACAGGGTCGCTATGAGTGAGAACCAACTCAACGACACTTAACAGCAACCCCTTGTGGCATAGGGTAAGCTGTGGACTACAAGATTGGTTTGAAGCAACCTCAAGGTCGGCGGTTCAAATTCACCAGCAGCTCCTCTGAAATCCTATACAAAGTTACTCTGAATCGGAACCAACGAGACGGCATTTAACAGCATCACTTATACCTAGTATGGTGCTGTAGGATAAGCAGTTCAAACCCACCAGCCGCTCCTCGGAAAACCTATACAGGGTCGCTGAGTCAGAACCAACTCAACAGCACTTACCACCACCAACCCCTGCTCTTTCGGCTCCAGCAAACTCACTGAAGACCCAGGCACATATCAACTTAAAATTCTTTGCGCTAGTCAGTCCTTCTGCCCACAAGGTTTTGTCCACAAATATCTTTAGAGCTAACTCCTTCAACTCTTGTAAATCAAACGTACTTCCCGGTGAGGCCTACCCTGATGCGCTTATTTAGAACGGCAGCTTGTATTCCCCAGGTCCCTTGTCCAGTTTTCATCTTTCCTCCGCACGTCTGTCCTTGTGACATAGTAACTTACTTATTTACATAGGCTGTTTATTGCTTGTGTTCCCCAAACTAGAATGTTAAGCTTCACCAGGGCGAAGAGCTTTTGTTTCCTCTTCTAACATCCCATGAGGTCAGGACACAGCACTCAAGAATTATGGGTCTACACTTCCCTGATGAATACGTCATAACAACGCACTTCACCTTCACGTCAGCACTTTGGAACAAGACCAAAAAAATTAAAACCAAGGATGTGGTTCACAAAGTGTACTGAAAATTTTTCACTCTCCTTAAACAACACTCGACAGGGCTTTGTGGCATCATAATTCTATTAAATGGGTCAGGATTACCATTTTTATTTTGCAGACTCGGGTAGGAAGTTTTGCAGCTCCCGGCCCAAAGCCTCAGAGAATTCCTGAAGAATCTGTAACCCCTCACACAAAACTATCAACAGTTAGCTCTGCAATTCACACTCACTCACAAGGAGTTTCAGACGTGTTTATGTCAGCTCCTCCTCCCAGCAACCGGGACAATAATGGCTAATGTGTCGGAAGACTTGGTTTGTGCCACGGGTACCTAATATCTCACATCATCTGGTGGGAGTGAGTCCCAAGTTCCGTCGCGGCGACCAGTCCCTGACCTGAAGAAAACTTAGTTCAGCCCGTCCCACTCACTGGAAAGTCGGAGGAGGGCCCACGTAGGAACCCAGGCCCGATTACCTTCGCTCACGCCCACCACGGCCCCCAGGGTCTGGGGACACCGCACTCCACCGACCCTCCTCACTCGAGGGGGCCTCTCACTTCCGCTCTGGGGCTGCTTCACGACGGGAGGTTCCCAGGGTTTGCGGCGCCCCTAGCAGGTAAGCTGCCCAACCACGCCCACGCGGCACCGGGAGCGAAAGCAAAGCTTTCCGCCGCACCGCAGCTGAACCTCGAACACAGCGGCCTCCCTGACACACACTGCGCACGCGTCCTGTGGGCCGAGCTTGCGTCACGTGCGCCGACGTTAAGCACGCCGGGAGTTCTCGCAGCGCCAAGTTCTCGGTTCTTAAGGTTGCGTTTCTCTGCTGGAACTGGAGTGAGAAAACGAAAGTTTCCAGCTTCTCGCTGCTAGCGCATCGGAAGCTTGCACGCAGACGGGGCGTCCTTTGGCTCCGCCTCCTGCTAAGGTGGCGAGGTGAGGTGGGGCGGGGCAGACCGGTCCAAAACTTTGAGGGCTGTCTATCTGACTGGATCTCAGAGGTTTTCCAGTGCAGTTGGGTACTCGTTAGTTCCAGGTCCAGCCTGGATAAAACTGAGCCTCTGAAGGCAATAATGTTGTTATTAAGTGTCGTGGAGTCAGTTCCAACTTATATCGACCCTGTATAGGGTTTCTGAGGAGCGACTGGTGGGACTGAACTGCCGACCTTGTGGTTAACGGTACCGTCCTGTAGTACTGCTACGGAGCCACTATTTACTTAGGAAATAATCAGAAAACGGCATTTTGGACAAAATGTTCATTTCTGCAATAACAAAAAACGGAAACACTCTGTTCACTTTAAAGGACTTAATTTATAGTGCATCCATAATTAAAATTACTATGAATGGCTTGGAAGGAGCTCTGGTAGCGTAGTGTTACGAATCAGGCTGCGAACCTCAAGGTCAGCAGTTCGAAACTACCAGCTGTTCCGCGGGAGAGAGATGAGGCTCTCTGCTCCC